CTGACATTTCTTCTACCAGAATCTCAGGTAGCTCAAAATGGAGATCGATTTTTTAAAATCATTTTTTACGTACATTAACATCATTACTACTATTTTATCCTGATATGTGTTCGGTAAGTCTCCTATAGGGCTGAGGCCAAACCATGGTCAACTTGCTCCTTAGGGTAGATGCAGTACCCACTAAAGCAATCTTTTGCAACTCTCTCATGTTTGTTGAACCAGGGTTTTTTTTTTATTTAGTATCTCAAATACAGTAACTGTACATGTAGAGTAAATTACTTTGGCTTGCACTACATGCTTGAATCCAGTTTTATTCAGATTCTACTTTTATTCTTTTGTTGTTAGCCTCTGGCTTACAAGAAGCTCTTCAACAATGAGAAAAACTGTTGCTTGACAATTTTTTTGAGGGTGTCCATCAGTCACCTTGGCAGTCAAGAATGGAGCATTCTGGATATCACAAAAACCTTGTCCAATGATTGTTTAATTATCTAATGACTCCTAAATACATTGAAGGCGCACAATCATAGATCTTACTTCATCAATTTGTTTCTAGATGTAACATGGCGCACTCCTTGTCTCATTTTCAAAAACCTGAACTGGCCAGGAGTATCAACCAGGACTGGCACAACAACCAGGATACCACTCTCAGCCCCTATTCAATATTCAACTAGAAAACATCTTAATTGATGAACTGCACCTGATACTCAGGGTTACCGACTGTTTTGAGGAGGGCTTAATCATGGACATTCTAAAATGGGATGAGGTAGGCGTTGTTAGGATAAAATATTAGTGAAGAAATAAAATAATATTACTACTAGATTATTGACCAAGCATGAGGCCTGGACAGGGGGCATTGTGATTTTTCCATTGTTTGTCATATAATAAAACTGAGAAGAAGAAGCAGTTACTATATGGTTTGAAATATTATTTTCTGGTAGGGTGACAGCCAATCCAGCCAACAAAAGTCTACAGTTCACCTGGACATGTTTCTGTCTACAGTGTGGTCACTGGGGGTCTCTTTCAATGTGTACAAAGTTGGAGACAAGATAGAGTGGACATCACTACTGGGGGGGGGGTTGAGAAGAGACTCCAATCCAAAGTTGAAAAGACAGAGTCTTTGGATTGTAAGTATTACCTCAAATAAATCAATTGAAAAATTACAAAGATAATGATTCATACAACATATAAAACTTAAAAAATCATTTGACTTGTTATCCAATAATCTCAGGAAGTAATTCACAACCACTTTTTTGTTTAAACAGAATTTCAGAGATATCCTATTACCACATACATTTCATAATTATTTGCTCATTTTATATTTAAAACAAACTGTTCTATAATCTCTGAAAAGTAACTATATTGTGTTTTCACTCATTCAACAGAATTTCAGGGAGCTTCTTGATGACATGACCCGCGAGACTTTTCATGTGAATGATGGTGCAAAGAAATTTGAAGAAAAGGTAAGAAGTACTCTCTGATATTTTGGTGGGGTTTCAACAGTTGTCTTGTATTTGGGGTAGATAACAGGATTCAAACACTTTATCACAATGAACATACAGAAATGTGATGTTGAAGAGAATTAGTAAAATAATCTTGAGCAAGGCTATGAAAAGCTTTTCTTCGGTCGGTAAAAACCTAGCTTCACGCGTACCTCGTTCATCTCGCTT